CAGAATTAAAATTTTCAATTTAATTTTGTCTCCCTGTGACCACTCAGCCATGAAAATTATTACTCTGTAGCTCCCAGAATCTTAAGTCTATTTAAAATATTGATAGAAATACTAATTATATCTGCTGAACATTGTGGAAAGTGTAGCCTGGACAAATGAGCCTAAGTTATTGAAAAATAAAATAGCAATTAATTATGTCAGGACAATCAATCACCATGTAATTTTCAGTCAATAAGAACCATAGCTAATGGCTGACTAAGCTCAATTAAGGTTTGATGAAGTACTAGTTTTTAAACAGAAGTTAAATTATTAACCCATATCATTTGCTAGCAGGATCAACAACACATCATGGCTTATTTTCTCAACATAAATCCCCTCTCAAAATGTATATATTTTGAAAACAAGATTCAATGTCCTGTGTTTTCTTAGATGGTTTGTCAGTCTGAATCTTCATTAAAGACTTTTTCCCTTGCTGGATTAAATGGAGAAAAGCTTGGAACATAAACCCCTGTGGTACTTTTACATCTGTTAAGCTAATAACCAGTTAGAATCCCTGGAGAAGTGGAAAGAAATAATATTTTCCCTTAATTTGGAGAGGACTCCTATCCTCTGCAAACCTTCTTCCTTTGGGACCTGTGGGAGCCTGATGATTAGGTTGCCTTTGGGTTGGTAGAAGGGGTTTGCCTGTGAGGAACCATGGTTTTGGAGAGATGTTACATGACATTTTACCAAACTGTTAAAAGTTCCCGTTCTGGCTGCCAGACTCACTTGTCGTGCCATCCGTTTCCCTCCTTCCACATGAAACAGAGAAAAAAGGAGAATTTTAGGGTGCATACCATGTTAAAATTCTCTTGCACCTTGGTTTTGGGCACTGAGTGACTGGTGTGTAAGGCATCAGTGAGTATGTGTATAATGATGCTGTTGCAGTTTCTTGTTAGACTCCCTATTTCACCAAAGCTTTGTTTGAATTCAATATTAACTGACTGTTTAAATTTATTTAGTGGTTCAAAACTTCTATAGTAAATCAAAGTGGTTTTTTTGCATTGACTCTTTTTACTGGCCCAGAATAGAAGTCATTCTCTTTCAGAGATACACAAATTATAACTGTTAGGAGAACTTTCTCCAAAGACATTCAATACCTCAGCTAAAATGCAGTTTCTCTTTCTGAATCCCTTTTTTCCTCTTGTCCTCCCCTTTTGATTGTCAAAAATAAAACTGGAGCAAAAAGCCTGTTGATAACCCCACACTTTGCAGGGCAGCTGAATCCCTTACCTTCCATTCTCCTTCGGCCCTCAGTGTCTTTCAGGGCGTCCAGCACCAACACTGGTGGTGTCTCTTGCTTCAGACACACGATTAGAATTCTACAGAGGTGATGAAATTTTACTATGAACAGCATGCTGTATAAAACAGATGCATAATTTGTGCAAATTGTACGTTTAATCCTCTCTAGCACACAAACATGGATGGGATTTCCCATTTCCTTTAAAAGCAGGCCACCTAGTGCTTGCAGAGCTTCAGCACAGTGAGAAAGAAACCCACTGCCAAAACCTTGGTTTGCTCCCTCCTTCATTTGCACTCCCTTTAAACCACGGCACTGCTCACCTACTTTTCAAAACATACTACACCATAGTGCAACTTAACAGAGACTTAAGGTTGTGATTTTACCTGCCTGTTCTCTTTCTTGCTCTCTGCTACTTACTTAGCCCCAGCACTGTTTTTTGTCAGACCTCTCTGTCAACTCCCTAATATGGTCAAGAAGAGACAGTGAACTTGACAATGTCATAGGGATCTGCTGAATTAATGAACTAAAACAAGCTATGGAAGGACCTAGTACCAGGACTGGCCCAGTGAGGGGGTAGTACTGGGAGAAAAGAAGAAGGACAAAAGGGAAAGAGAGGACAATATTCCCCTTTCACCACCAGCAGCAAGGTGGCAGAAACTGCATCTTCAGGTTTACCAGAGAAAAAAAGAACGAAGGTAGAAATACTGACAACTCCTCTTTCTCCAGACTGACATCAATGCACTGTAAGAGGGAAAAAAAAAAAAAAAAAAAAAAAAAAAAAAAAAAAAAAAAAAAAAAAAAAAAGCAAAGCCCCAGTCCTTTACAAGTGCTATTAAAAAGTCATGAGCTAAGTAGTATCCATACTGGAATGTGACATCTCCAAACAAAGCTGAAAAGCACAGCTTGGAATGATGTTGCTAATTCTGTAGCTCTATGACTAGACATGTAACCAGTGTTCCGGGAAGATACTTTATCCCAGCATTTTGCTGGAGCTTCCTTTCCTCCTCCCGGTGAGACAGAAGGAAAAGACCCTACCAAATGCTGTTACTAGTGGTCCTGTGGCACTTCTCATAGTGTGTCTCAATTCTGGTGGAGGTCAATCCTGCCCGAATTTTGCTTTGGATATATTGGATGAATCTCTTGGTGAGAGGTGAGTTTGGGGTGTTTTGTACATATGTTATAACTGTAAATACTGAGCTACTCAGCCTTGTATAAGGTACAGCATAGCTAAATGCAGCCCTGCATGGCTGTCAATGTATTTGACAATATTCTCCTACTATTGTATGGGAGAGCTCTTACTTTCATTTAAAAAAAAAAAAAAAAAAAAAAAAAGGCACAAATTTAACTGTAGCTAGAGGATCAATCTGTATCACTAAGAAGTACATTTCTAGAAACCCGGTGTCTTAGACTATAAAACTTGAGAAAATTACTAAATGACAGAAGTTATAAATAAATGTTTTCTATACTTGCTCTGCACTGGATAATGGGCACCTTCATGTAACACATCTTTTGTTAACTACTCTCAGAGATGGAAAATGGGCCGGACTGTTAGATCTGAATTCGAAATGCTGACACTTCTACAGTAGTAGGAACTTTAATAGAAGAAGTCTAAATAAGCTTCTTTTAAATAAAAAAAAAACCCTGTAATTGTATTTCTCAGTGCTTGTCCTGTTGGCAGAACTTTACTTTTCACTTAGGATCATCTCCCATTAGTTCTGTATCATCCTCGGTAAAAGGATGTTGAATGAAAAGAGAGGGGCATATGATGACTCTCCAGATGGATGTCAGAGAAGTTTTGGGGTTGTTGGGTTTTTTCTGTTTATATATAATGAATGAAGTCCAAGAACCAGCAGTCCTTTATGTACACATAGTACATTAGTACTTTTTAATTGGGTTTTCTTTTTCATTTTTCATTTTTCTTCCTTTGTATGATGTGTTTTAAAGGGTATATTACTGAAGAATCCATCATCAGTATGTTATTGTAACTTATCCTTCAGTGACATTATTATACTATTAAAGTCACCTCATTAGGAACTAGATGGTTTAACACTTATGACTATTATAGACCTTTTAGCATAAAGTAAAGAAATATCGGTATTACTGACGCTTCACCCACTAATTTCTTTCCTGTACCCCATCTTCACTGCCCCTAAAGAACAGAAAATCATGGTTGGTCAATCCTTACCTAACTTTTTGCAGGAAAATGCCTAAGAAACATTTTGACAGCAATTTCTCAAGATAACCAACTTGCAGGGACCGGCCTCAACATTTCCATGCATTCAAAGCTGATGAAATTAAAAGCTACTGGTAATTCTGGAAAATTTTTGGCAGGTAAGGAAAAAAATAAATTAATATACAGCTTTCAGGATCAAATTCTGATCCACCTATAGCGCATCTGCTTTATTATGCAGCATATGACCTGGGCAGTTATCTGAAAGCAAATATTAATTCTCATTTTCCATTTATTTACAGATAGAACAGTGTCTTACCAATTGTAAATGATGACATATTGTTGAAGTTCAAATAATTTGGTTTTAAAACACTTTTATATTTTTTTCAAATATTCCTAATGCAGTTTCTTGCAACTAAGCAAGCAGAAAATGAATTATTCCCTTTTTTACTAATAAAAAGTGCTTTGATTTTATATATTTACAAATACACAAATGTATATATATTTCCATAGCTTTAAAGCATAAGTGGCCACCTTTTAACAAAGATAAAAATTCATTTTCTTCATTAATTAATTATAACTAATACCTCCATGGTACATGCCCTAAAGTATCCAGTAAAACATGGTGTTACCAAGATGTATCATTTTAAGCTACATTTTGAGTCTTGAAAAACTCAATTTACTCTCATTATCAAGTGAGCTATAACTATTGACAACACCATGGAACATTTCTGTTGCTCTGCAACAAGTAGTCTCTTTTCTGTACGTCACATTTTTGCAACAACAAAAGCTGAAAGCTTGTTCTTAGAAGTTTAGATCTTCTAAGTCTTCTCAGATCTTCTTATCCTACTGGTCAAAGCAAAGTCATGGAGCTGCTTCTGGTGACAGGCTGTTTTGCTGGCTTTTTTTCAAGCTGCCCCTTGACTTAATAATAGAACATTATAGACATTATTGTGATCATTATCCACATATCTCCAGATGCTGATTTTTTTAAAAAATCATTCCTATTTAGACTCAGGCATAGTTTATCACTACCCTGCCCATCCCATTATTGACCCAACAGACTCCATAAAACAGGAGTTTATGGGGTAATCATCACTCACAACACTTCAACTAAACTGGAAATGTATTCTAGAAATACATTTCAGACATTGTTCACAGTTTTGCTCTGATTGGCTTCAGTGACTGTTTAAAAATTAAATTCGTCTGGTTCTCAATTGGGCTTGTAACATAGGCCCTGTAACATTTCTGAGCTGAGAAATTTTCCCAGAAAAATTTCATTGGAAAAATGAAATAGCCTTCCATGAAGGTTGCTACTCAGAAATCTTATGGTGGTAGGAAAGAACCTACAGGATTTCTTCTTGGTACTTCTGTTCTTTATTTCATTTTGGCCAAGATTTTCTGTCTTTGAAGGGTGAGTTGCAAAGAAGTCCTTGGAAAGGAGCGTACACATGATTGTTTCCTTGTCTCCTTGTCACTCCTAGTTTTTTGTTTGTTTGGTTTTGTTTTTGGTGTGGGTTTTTTTGTTTGTTTGATTTTGGTGGTTTTGTTGTTTTTGTTGTTGTTTCTGAGAGAGAGAGAACTGAAAAGGAAATTTGGGAGAAGCTGTTAATACTCTTACTTGGTTGAAAAGGTATCACCAAGATGTATAAGCATTTGGTAGTTTCCAGTCAATATTATGATGGAAAAAGAAAATAACACTGTAATTGAAGTGTTCTCATGTTTATAGAGCATTTATATTATAGACTGAATCAGAGGGGAACTGAAATAATCTCTGAGTATGTGGCAATGCTGAGGAAATTAAGAATCAAAAGACTTAAATGACACACAGTTTTTTGTGTGTGGAATATAAAACCAGGCAAGCCAAATTATCATATTGAGACTAACTTAAACCTTAAACATATGCTCAAGTTACTTCATTTGGGATGAAGAGTGCATTTCAAGATATGTTGCAGCAGCACACAAAAAACTGTGTAGCAAGTCCAGCAGAAGTGAAGAAGAAAGTGCACCATAAACCGTACAATTAACTATTATTGTTGTGGGAAAATACTCACTATGCAAACAACTTCCAGTTCAAGAATAAACTCTGTAAAAACAGCAATAAACTGCGCCATGCTTAGAGAATATAAAGGTCAATGAAAAGCAAACAACTGATATTAAATCCACTTGGAATCCGGATCCTGTAGCATCTTCACAATAGCTGAATTTTAGAGAGAAAATAAGTCAGGTTTATTTATATGTGGAAGGAGCAAGATCTGAAATGCATCTCAGTAAAGCATCTGTTTTTCCTCGATTTCACAGCAGGAATGTTAGAGACTACTTAAATAGATGAAGTTGCAGAAAATTTAATTACCACTAAACATTTACAAGGAAATTATTGTTCCCTGGAGTTACCACAGTTGTAGTGATGATGGTGTTTGACATGTCTGGGCTTTAAGGAGGAATCATATGCAGCAACTACTTGGAAGCAAACAAGAGAAGTGTATAGGGTGTATAACATCTGAAGATTTAAGAAATTATAAGATTTATCCTGCAATAGAAATTATCTAAACATTTGAAAAAAGCAGCTGATGCCTTTTATGATGATACAGTAACTGTAACCTGTGGGAAGACAAAGATACAATTTTTGTTACAAACTTGTCTGATACCTTTCCAAAAATACACCAGAAGGGAAAAGCAACTGGAGCATCGCAAGAATTCTGCAATAGTATTTAAGGTTACATTCAACAAACAGCACTTGAGCGTAGTTAGTTCTGACACCGTATTGGTGTTGACCTTAACATTACCAACTACCCAGTAAAGATCAGTATTTTTTCCCTGGTTCATAAGATGTATTTGCCTCATTATTGCATTTTTGGCAAGTTCATCTTAGCTTAAATCCATTCACAAGTATGGACTGAAGACAACGAGATAGTGTGTTATCTGATAGCAGACACAAGTGTTTATTTCAGTCTCACAGTGTAGTCTTCAGTAACTGTACCTTCTGGTTAGTAGGCAGGCATACACAAGCAGATACTATGAGGTATTGCTGCCATGCAACGTTATTTGAATGATCATTACAAAACCAGCAGTGAAGGACACTCTGAAACCTCCCTCACAGGCTTGGGTGTTATCATTAATCCTTAAGGAAAATTCATTGATTTAATCTGCTCACAGTAGCAATAAATGTGTGCATAACTCACAAGGCAAAAGCTGAAGAAATCCATAAGGAACACAAATTGCAGCACAGTTACATCCTTTACTGACAGTAGTTGATTATTAAGAGGGTTTGTTTAACCATCTTCTAATTGAACAGACTGGCACTGAAAATTCTGAATTGTCCTGGTTCCATCAAAACTTTCTACAGAAGCTTTAGCCGTGATCTGGCTGTGGCTGCTGGCCAAGCTGGCTTCTTACTGTAGCTCAGTTGACTGGCTATCCAGCTCCCTGGCATCAGGCCGACTGCTCAGTTGGTTTCTTGGCTTCCCAGGCTTGTCAGCTGGCAAAGAAATAGATTGTTTTATTTCTTGCCAAAAAGGCTGCAGAGCCAACATGTTTTGTTCCAGCACTTCATGAAACAAAATATTGACAAGCTGGAATTTCCTGTAGAATAAAAATTTCACTTCCCAGCCAGCCCCAGTTATTATTGTACGCTCTTGTGTAACATAGTGACAACGTTTATCGCATCCTCTAAGCAAACACAATGCACAGAAAGGATGTGAATTCAGAGAGCTTTCCAAGGCTTTGGATAATAATCTCATATCATCTGAAACCGTCTCTATGGAGCACAATGCATCTTTTGATAAGGTTAGTTTGTGACGCTTTCCATTTTGCGTTAAAAGGCCTATTTAGTTGGCTTCAAGACCTCATTTTTCAGCAGGACATAACTGGCTGTCTGAGGGATGAATTCAGTATACAGTCTGTGGATTACACCCCTTATGCATATTGTTTTGCAAGATGACTTACACAGGTCACAGATCAAACTCCAGAGAAAGAGAAACCAGCAATAGCTGCAATGCAGTCACATGTATAAAGATTATTAGGTTTTCACTGTTGAAAAAAGGAATTAAGATATCCATAAATATGCAAACAAAAATGATTTCTCAGACATGTCAAAAATGGATTCATGAAACATTCAGTGAAGAGAAACCAAAAAATGCCATCACATCATAGTACAATGCCATAAACCCAAACCTTGTCAGAGACAAACGCCATGGCCCAGCCTAGGCCAAAGATTCATGATAAGATGACTAATAGAATTACCCACTGAGACGAAGAGTTCCAGTTTTGGAGGTGGTAGGTGTGTCAATAGTGTTTTTAAGGAGACACTGAATAGGGCCTAAACGGCAAAGCAAGTCAACACATGGGTATGCCCTCGGCAGCAGAACAAGACCATTTAAGCTGTTCCTGTTCTTGGTTGTTTCAGCGCTATCCCCAGTATCATGCTGACACATTTATTACTCTGGTGAACTAGGTCAGCAAAACGGAAGGAAAGCAGGTTGTTCTCTAGTCTTCTCAGTTCAGTCTCATTTATTGCTTGATTTCACAAATGTTCATGCTGGCACAGTCCAGAAGCAATGCAGACGCAGGAGCAGGGAGCTGGGCTGGGGAGCTGAAGGGCATGTTATAAACAGAGAAACCACTAGAAGTCATTAATGAAATTATTACATTATGAGCTTTAGATTTTTAATTTTTTTTTCTGAAGGGGTGGTGGGGGGAGAAAGGTGGAATATTATCAAGCATGGCAAATCCTTCCCAGCTTGCTGCAAGGGGATCAGTGGAAAAGGCTTACACAGGTTTTAAGACAGGAAGAGTATGCATGCCTCCTGCTGAAGGTAGGAATACATAGACTATAAATTAAACATCTGCTTTTGAGAAGACAATCCTTATTATTCTAAGTGTAGCTTATAGAATATAATTTCAAGTCTTGCCCCAACCTAATAAAGCTTTAGTTATACAGACACATTTTTCAGAAGCAGTATCATAAAAAACCCTGACAAACCAACACTGACACAATTTTATGCAACTGTGTAGTTTTCCTGTACAGGGGAAAAAAAATGTAAGTAAGGGAATAGGAAGAAAACGGACAGAATACTGCCAGAAAATCACAGACTAGTTCTTTAACACCTTTCACAGAACTGCCATTCAGTACCTGAGAGAGATGACATATCAGTCAGTCTGAGATAATCTTTAAACAAGTTGCTCCAAGCCAGTGATCCTGAGATATCAAGCTTAAAAGACAGAAACAGACAGTAAGTCATGATAGTACCAGGGACGTAACAGTAGTTTTGACAAAAATATTCTAAACATGCCTATTTTTCATACCAAATGAGCAGGTAGAAAACACTACAGGTGCATGGCCAGCTCTGCCTGATACTGATCCCCTTCATGAGGCCTGATCCTGATCCCCGCAAGCGGAATGATGTCCCAGCCTGGCTTTTATCTGTCCCTGTCCCGATGCCCCAGGCTGGGGCTGTCCCCAGCTTCCCTGCTCCCTGGCTGGGGTCAGCAGAATGGGTTCTGACTGACCAGACCCTGCCCTGAAAAGTATAAAATTAGCAGGACACAAAATACCAGATCCCAGAAACCAACACCCTATTTCTTCATAATTAATATCAATTTTAAGGAGTGTTGGCTAACCAGACAAGATTCCTGTGCTTTTGTATGGACAGTATTTAAATCAACTGTAAAAACCAAAAAATTAAAAAAATCACTATTTCAAAGCTACCTCAATTTTTATTATTGCATAAAAAAATAACATTTTCTCTGACAAACAATGGTGTGCTGTGGGTTATGTTTCATAGTTTCCTGACGAGGGCGAATCTTGATTTTTCTCAAGGTTTTGGCAGGGAGCCAGAGGAACTCATTATTCTGAGCAGTCTAAGGGGAATTATAAAACAAAGGAAAAAAAAAGGCTTGAATTTATTTTTAAAGCATGCTTTCTCATGTTTACATTGCTTCCAGAGCTATTTTGTTTTGGAATTATTTTACTTATTGTGGATAGATGAAAAACAATGATACATTAAAAACAACAAAACCTTCTTACAGAATTTTTAGCTTTCATGAAAACTGAAAAGTGTTCTTAGTGATGGAGTTAGTCAAAAGAAGGCATATTTTGTTGGTTGGCTGGAGATGTGCAAACTGTTAAACTTTACTCAAATGATAGTGTATTTCCAAGTGAGGCTGGTCTCGAGGGGCACTGAAATGATGACTAAGTTGAGTTAAATTTGATGCTTTTATTCATTTACTTTCTCTCCATCCCATAGGGACCTGCAGTCCCCAGGAGTACGAGAACCATTTTATTTGTCCCACTTATGCCACACAGTATGACATATTTTAGAACCAGTCCTTTGCTTCTTTTATCTATCTAGTGTTTGCAAGGTTTGTTGGCTTTGTCCACAGCTTACCAGTTTTTACAGTCCATTAAAATGTAGCTCACTTACCTGTTGGCAAAAATTAGTAAGTGAATGCATGCCCTGACCTCTGAAGTGTCTAAAATGATTGCACAAACCAGAAACAGCCCATGATCAAAGACTAAATAGAAATGAAAGCCACATCTCAAGTAAAAACAGAAGGTAGGTACAAGCAGAAATTGTCTTGAAAAGTAGTGGAGATCCAGTAGCAAAAAATTCTCACATCCTTTTTACAGGGCTTTAACGGTCCTCAGAGGAAAAGTGCAACTTATGAGAAGGTCACATTAGTCTCTGTCTTTCTCTGTAAAGTGGAGCATGTTGGACTTTTAAACGGCCCAGTATTAAAAAGCTACAAAGATCTTAGGATTCTTTTTCTTTTTCTTTTTTTTTTTTCTTCCCTAACCCCTTCTCTAGTATATGAATTTTGGGATTTTTTTGCTGAATTTAGCGTTGGGGGCTCTGTCTTTTCTGTCTTCCAGAAGCTGTTGCAAGCATACGCTGCCCTGTCTCCACCTGCAGCCACAGTGGAAATTCAGTTCTGTTTTTCCTCCTCCTGATCTTCACTCTCATATGCCGTCTTAGAAAGACCTGTCCCGATTCCAAGAATCTCTCTTTCAGGGAAGGACACAGTTGTTAGTGCACATTGCTAAGACAATCCATTGTGTATTGTCCAAGACACTTCCTCATTTGTGTCCTTGTTGTCAGATTAGTCTCTGAAGGAGCTGCTGCTGCTGAAAACAAATTATTTTGGGAAGCTACCCGAAATTACTGTTTCCATGCAAACAAAATGAAATCCCAGGCCCCAACAGCACCTACAGTTAAACATGTGCCATCCTAACTCACGAGGATTTGAAATTGCGTATTTGCTGGGCTAAACTGTTCATCTGGTGTCCAGAGGAATCAGGCACCACCGAGTTTAAAAAGGGCGTGTGGAAAGGAGCAAGGGCACAGCATTTCCAGGCAGGGTTTGACACTCTTGTCTGTGCCTCGTCTGACTAAAACCAGACTGGAGCCTCCAACCCATCCCCCGTTTCCGAGGCAGCCAGCGCCTGGGATGCCGCGAGAAACCATCCCGAGCTGCAGGATCGGTCCAGCCCACACGGCAGGCACACACCGCCCGGGGCTCTGCAGGAGCCATGCCCGCTCCTGGGCACACCCCGCAGCACAGAACAGGGGCAGGGGCTGGGACAGGATCACGGACGGGGACTGGGACAGGGACGGGGGCTGGGAGAGACAGGGACATGGCCTAGGACAAGGGCTGGGGCACGGGGAGCGGCTGGGGCCGTGCCGGGGGCAGGGACTGTGACCCGGGATAGCGCGCGCGATAACCCCAGGAGGCCGTGCGCGCGCTCAAGCACACAGAGGGAGGAGTGGTGCGCGCCCCCGCCCCCCCACGCGCGCGCACGCCCGCGCGCCCTGCCGCGGCTGTTTCCGGGGCGGGACCAGGTTTCCCGCCAATGGGAGCGCGCGGCGGCAGAGGCAGCTCCAGGGGCGGGGCCGGGAGGGAAGCGTCGCGAGAGCGGCGGCGCGCGCCGGGGGCGGGGCGGGGCGGGGGGCGGTGGCGGGGGCGTTGGGTCTGGCCGCGCGCTCCGGTGCCGCTCCGGCGCGGGGTCGGGGACGCGCGCGGCGCGCGCTGAGGAGCCGGCGGCGGCGGCGGCGGCGGCTACAGGTACGGAGCGCCCGCTCTGCTTCCCACCCCCAACCCCGCTGCCGCCGCCGCCGCCCGGGGCTGGGGGGTCGGGGCCCGCCGCCGCGGCCCCCACGCAGGGCGGGGTGCAGCCCGCCGGCCTGTCTGTCAGGCGGGGCTCGCTGCCACAGGTGGCCCCGGAGCTCCCGGGGAGGCGCGCGGCAGAGCATCTTCCGCCGCCCTTCCCTTCTCTTCTCTTCCCTGAGGAAGGATCCGCTGGGGCAGCGCGGCTCCCGCGGGCCCGGCCGGTCACCGGAGGAGGAGCCGGGGAAGGGCCGCGGTGTGCCCCTGATCCGCAGCGCGGGGGTGACACGGGGCGGGGGTAACGCAGCGCCCCAGCCCCGGCACCCGCAGGGACTGGGGTCGCTTTCGCAGCTCCGCCCGCCCCGCCCCGCTGCTCCCCGTGGGCCGGGTCTGTCTGTCCGCAGCCTCGGCAGGGCACGGACTGGTTCCTGCCTGTGGTGGTGCAGTCGGTGCGCGGAGGCTCCGTGAGTTCGCGTTCTCTCCTGCCAGGACTGGGTTGTGGTCGGTGCGCACGGGTTAAGTAAGTTCACCCTGTTCTCAACATCTCGCTTTTTAAAAGTGTCTCCTCCCCCTTCCTCCCCACGTCCTCTCAGTTCCTTTCCTCCCTCAACGGAGGAGAGACAGCAAGCGTTCCTCGTTTGCTTTCTTGGGCTCTTTTAAGGGGCTTTCTTAAGCTTGCTCTTTTTTTTTTTTTTTTTTTTACTACTGAAGTACGTTTCTCCGGGTTTGCCTTTAAAAATCCAACATGCAGAAGGAAAAAAAAAAAAAGTGTGAACTGCCGATCCCATCTGTATATAGATTATTGCCTTCTAATTGAAGCTATGATGTGTTGCCAGATTGACATAGGGAGAAAAAAACAAACCCTTAGATCTGGAAAAGATCAGTGATAATGAAATAAATGGTAACACAATGCTCCAAGTTTATCTATGTTGCACTTGTGAAGAGGCTTACATTGCCTTGTATTTGTAAGATTATTTCAGAATTGTAGAGTTAGACTTCAGTGATAGATTCTACCAATATTTAACTAATCCTCGAGAAACTAAGTGTTTTTAAATAATGTTGGTCCCATTTGTACAGTGGTATTTCTAGGTCTGTAGGCAAGCTGATTTTTTGGGGGGGGCATAGTAATTGAATTATGCTGTCTTGGTTGATGTCTCATAATTCCATATCCTTCAGAAATTCTTTAAAATATTTTGGCAGTTGAAGTGGTGGAAAGACTTACTCAGTGTGGACAAATAATAAAAAAGATTAGATCATTCCTGTTTTCTGTTAATCATTTAGTATGATATAATCTTAAAAAAAAACAAAACAAAGAATACACATCCCAAAAGTACCTCCTAAACAAGGTGTTCTTTGGTGAAACTTTGTCAAAGGGAAAATAAGATGGCTTGAGAAAAATGCTGCAGCTTAAAAAATACAAACTTACTTGGTATAGTTCTGTTATGTACAAAATACACAGCACAATAAAGTACAGAAATTTA